TAAGGTCAGAAGTGGGATATTGGCCAACGATTGCACAACCTTCACGTCCATTTGTGATTCCTCAGGTACTGAAGCAAACCACATCCGAATTCAAAAAGATGTCAACAGAATCCTGGCCTGGGCAGGAAAACAACAAGGTAAGTTCAAACCACAGAAATAATTGACACTGTCCATCTCAAATGAGTGACAATCTGACCACGACTCCTTTACTTCAGCAGTACTATATCCTCCACTATCAACATCTTGGGAGTTACCATGAACCACAAATTGAACAGGACTTGCCATATAAACACAGTGGCTGCAAGAGCAGGTCAAAGGCCGCAAATACTGCAGCAAGTAATTTGCCTCCTGACTCCCTGAAACCTGTCCACCATCTCCAACATTCCTGTCAGAAGTGTTGTGGTATCCCCACGGTCCCCAGTTGCTTTTCTCAAACTGGGAGTAAAGGGAGTCGTTGATGTTTGTTTCTGGGAATAATTGCGAAAAACAGCGCATGCGCACTGCTGGCCCTGCCCCCAAAGCTGCGAGTTGCAGACTGGAAGAGCGCATGCGTGACGCCCTCTCCAAGCGCTGCCGTTGAGGAGCATTTACTCAGTGAGTGGAAGAGGTTTGTTTGAAACAGACCGCAATGGAGAGACCAGCGCCCAGGGAAGCGAGGGAACAGCAGACTCCTTCCAGCAGCACATCGAGATGTGAGCCTGGGACACAGAGGGGGCCTCCGAGACCGACGTTGATTCGGGCTCAGTTCAGGGAGAACCGGGGTCTGTTTGTAAGAGGTCGAGCGGAGCAGGAACTGGTCCCGGAACTTGGAGTGAGCGGCCGGGGTGGGAGGTGAAGAGAGAGGCCTTTCTCGGGCTGTGTGTGGGCCTGCTAAGGGAGACACAGCGGCAAGAAGCTGCTGGGGGTCATTCTTGTGGTTTTGAAATCTCTAAACACTGATGTAAAATCATTGCTTAGCTTCTGTTTCACGCTGTTTGTTGCGAATTGGCGTTGAATCGTGGAAGAGAAAAAGTTAGTATGTACAAATGTGCTAATCGTGTAAGGGATAAATATAGTAGTCACCGGTTTAAAATTCTCAAGTGAAATGTTTGAAATAGTGCCCGTTGTTCTTCTTTTCAACAGTTAGTGTATTGGGAGCTGGGTATTGAACTGTGTAAGCATTCCATTCATGGAGCTGTATAGGTGTTGGTTAGTTTTGTGACTTATTGAATTGTTTTAGAATTTCACTGAAAGAGACGAGGAGGAGCTCCGGGCGATAGTGGAACCAGACCCTGCTCTGTTCAACTTGCCGTGCTTAAAAACCAAAGAATAAAAATGACTATGACCTGAATATTGCATTGATCAGTTGATGTTTTCATACTCAGTTGATGATTTACAGGAGAAATCTCTTCTGTCTTCCTCTAGGCAATTATTTAATGGACCAAGACAATGTAATCTTTCCTCAGTACAAAGGCAAATGTGACCAGCTGCTTCTACCAACCAGGAGGTATGTTACCTCTGTCAGAGCTGAGAACATTCTTTCCACAGTCACAGAGTAGATTGAGCCACTCCAGCTCCAAAAAGTTCCATCATTCATAGCCAACTATCATTCACAACATTTGAAGAGGGATAGATCATGTCCTCATCTGAAATATGCATCCAAGAACTGCATTAAATTCACATGTAGTAAAGGCATTTTTAAAGTGAAAATCAAGGTCAACAAATAGATTGTGCTTTTACATCATTACAACAAGGATACATGAAGTAGGTATTGAGTGCAGATAAAGAAGGTACCTTTGACATTATCAGTAACTGAGCAGGACAAAGTTAATCTTTTGATGAATAGTTGTCCTATACTAAGCACAGCAATTAAACATTCTAAATTCCAAATGAACATCTGGTCCAAAGTCTGATACAGAGAGAATGCTTACTGCACGTATGCACACAAAACCACCATTTCACGCACCACCATCGCTCGCCTCCACACCACCCCCCCGCCCCCGCCCCCGCCCCCCACGACATCCCACATGCGCGCACTCATACACACATCCCACCTGACTGATTTACAAATTTGTTCACCATTCTGACATAAACATTATGATATCTAAAAGCGATAAAGGTCCATATACACTGCAAGTATCAGAAAACTTGACATTTAAACTGATTTCTACTCTCGGATCTCAAGCCTGAGCTCTACAGCACAGAATAAGCCCTTTCAAATTATTAAGTCTGCACTGCCCGTAAACAACCTATAACAACATCACAATTGACTGAGCTAACGATTCCAATCCCTTTCAGCCAGTATTCTATTTCCATAACTATATCATGGCAGCCGAGAAGCTGCATTCCCAACAATCACTGGAAACTAGTATGGAGAACAGATGAAAAATAGAATGTGCCTGCACTAGGACAATGGGCTGAATGGCCTGTTTCTGTGCTGGACCGAGTCTGTGATTCTGATTTGGGTGATAAGGAAATCACATTCTGCTATATAGGCTATCAATATAAAAAATATCATGCAGCATGGACAGACAGATGTAAAATAATACTCTTTCACAAAGCACCAAAAATGTATGTGTGTGAAACTAAACTAAATGTCTTAGTGATACCACAGAACATTAAAAAAGGAAAGGTCCTTCACTGATGGGCAGGACCAGTATCTGGTACATACATTCCCTATCCAAACAAGAAATTGTGTTGATTCACAATGGTTCTCAAATGAAATTGGCCTCCCCATGTCATCACCCCATCTCTCCTGTTCCCCACCTCCACAGACTTGACAGAAATCTCATAAATCACAAAATGCAGTGATTAAGACCCACTCTCAACACCCTCATAACTACGCTCACAAAATGAATCACAGTCACTGAGAATATCACTGAACGCCAGAGAACCAAGCCACTTTGATACACACGAGTAGAAAGTGATTAGTACAGATTGACAACCTCACTCTCACAGTCACAAAGCAGAAACTGACATGTATAGATCAATTATTAAACTTATATTGGGACATAACTAAAACTGACAGGTGTACATTGATCGTGCTCTCACATACTCACGTTGCTGAAATTGACAGAGAGAGAATGGTAATTACTTGTACATTCTCAAAGCTCAAAACAGAGCAGGACTTGTACAGTTAATGGTAGGGCCATGGGGAATGTTGATGAACAACGAGACCTACGAGTGTATGTGCATTGTGCCTTGAAATTGGAGTCACACATAGACAATGTGGTGAAAAAGTCATTCGGCATGCTTGCCTTCATTGGTCAGTGCCTTCAGTATAGGAGTTGGGATATCGTGTTGTGGCTGTACAGGATATTGGTGAGACCATTTTTAGAGTACTGCAGACAATTCTGGTCACCCTGCTATAGAAATGATCTTGCTAAACTTGAGAAGGTGCAGAAAATAATTACAAAGATGTCAGGACTGGAAGATTTGCACTATAAGGAGGCTTACTTCCCTGGACCATCAAAGACTGAGGTGTGACCTTATAGACATTATAAAAATCATGAGGGGCTTGGATAGGGTGAATAGCTAAGGTCTATTTCCTAGGGTTGTGCGTGCCCAAAAATAGAGGGCATAGGTTTACAGTGTACAAGGAAATATTTAAAAAGACCTGGGGTGGCTACTTCAAGCAGAGGATGGTGCACATATGGTACGAGCTACCAAAGAGACATTGATAACAACACTTACATATTCGCACGGCAGAAACATACAGGGACAGATTGACAACGACTCTCACACTTTCATGTACAAGAAACTGACGGGTACACGTTGATAATTACATTCATATAGTCACATCTGTGAAAGTAACATAAACTGGTTGATATCTACATTTATATATGCACATCACAGTAACAGACATGGACTGATTGCTAAATGAAAATGTAAATGCATACATCAAACAGTCTCTGTCAGTTCCTACTATGTGGATATATGAGTTTAGTTATCAACCTGTATCTGTATTGACCAGAGACTTACAGGGACAGATGAGTAACTACACTCAGAGCATAAACTGACAGTTACAGTTTATCGAATCAGAGATAGTAGGAACTGCAGATGCTGGAGAATCCGAGACAACAAGGTGCAGGGCTGGATGAACACAGCAGGCCAAGCAGCATCATAGGAGCAGAGAGGCTGACGTTTCGGGCCTAGACCCTTCATCAGAAAAGGGGGAGGGGAAGGGGGTTTTGAAATAAATAGGGAGAGAGTGGGAGGCGGATAGAAGAGGGATAGAGGAGAGGATAGGTGGAGAGGAAACAAACAGGTCGAAGAGGCGGGGATGGGGCCAGGAAAGGTGAGTGTAGGTAGGGAGTTAGGAAGGGGATAGGTCAGTCCAGGGAGGACGGACAGGTCAGGGGGGCGGGATGAGGTTGGTCGGTAGGAGATGGAGGTGCGGCTTGAGGTGGGAGGAGGGGATAGGTGGGAGGAAGAACAGGTTAGGGAGGCAGGGACGAGCTGGACTGGTTTTGGGATGCGGTGGGGGGAGGGGAGATTTTGAAACTTGTGAAATCCACATTGATACCATTGGGCTGCAGGGTTCCCAAGCGGAATATGAGTTGCTGTTCCTGCAACCTTCGGGTGGCATCGTTGTGGCACTGCAGGAGGCCCAGGATGGACATGTCGTCTGAGGAATGGGAGGGGGAGTTGAAATGGTTCGCGACTGGGAGGTGCAGTTGTTTGTTGCGAACCGAGCGTAAGTGTTCTGCAAAGCGGTCCCCGAGTCTCCGCTTGGTTTCCCCGATGTAGAGGAAGCCACACCGGGTACAGCGGATGCAGTATACCACATTGGCAGATGTGCAGGTGAACATCTGCTTGATGTGGAAAGTCTTCTTGGGGCCTGGGATGGGGGTGAGGGAGGAGGTATGGGGGCAGGTGTAGCACTTCCTGCGGTTGCAGGGAAAAGTGCCGGGTGTGGTGGAGCTGGAGGGGAGTGTGGAGCGGACAAGGGAGTCACGGAGAGAGTTGTCCCTCCGGAAAGCAGATAAGGGTGGGGAGGGAAAGATGTCTTTGGTGGTGGGGTCGGATTGCAGATGGCGGAAGTGTCGGAGGATGATGCGTTGGATCCGGAGGTTGGTGGGGTGGTACGTGAGGACGAGGGGGATTCTTTTTTGGTTTTTATTGCGTGGACGGGGTGTGAGGGATGAGGTGCGGGAGATGTGGGAGACATGGTTGAGGGCGTTCTCGACCTCGGAGGAGGGGAAGTTACGGTCCTTGAAAAACGAGGACAACTGAGATGTACGGGAGTGGAATGCCTCATCCTGGGAGCAGATGCGGCGGAGGCGAAGGAATTGGGAATAGGGGATAGCATTTTTGCAGGAAGGTGGGTGGGAGGAGGAGTATTCTAGGTAGCTGTGGGAGTCGGTGGGCTTGAAATGAATATCGGTTTCTAGGTGGTTGCCCGATATGGAGACAGAGAGGTCCAGGAAGGGGAGAGAGGTGTTAGAGATGGTCCAGGTAAACTTAAGGTTGGGGTGGAAGGTGTTAGTGAAGTGTATGAACTGTTCGAGCTCCTCGTGGGAGCACGAGGCGGCACCGATACAGTCATCAATGTAACGGAGGAAGAGGTGGGGTTTAGGGCCGGTGTAGGTACGGAAGAGGGATTGTTCCACGTAACCTACAAAGAGGCAGGCGTAGCTTGGGCCCATGCGGGTACCCATGGCTACCCCCTTTGTCTGTAGGAAGTGGGAGGAATTGAAAGAGAAGTTGTTGAGTGTGAGGACGAGTTCGGCTAAGCGGATGAGGGTGTCAGTGGAGGGGGACTGGTCGGGCCTGCGGGACAGGAAGAAGCGGAGGGCCTTAAGGCCATCTGCATGGGGAATGCAGGTGTAGAGGGACTGGACGTCCATGGTAAAGATGAGGTGTTGGGGACCGGGGAATTGGAAGTTCTGGAGGAGGTGGAGGGCGTGGGTGGTGTCACGGACATAGGTAGGGAGTTCCTGGACCAAGGGGGAGAAAATGGAGTCGAGATAGTTGGAGATCAGTTCGGTGGGGCAGGAGCAGGTGGAGACAATGGGTCGACCAGGGCATTCAGGTTTGTGGATTTTGGGAAGGAGATAGAAGCGGGCAGTGCGAGGTTGGGGAACGATAAGGTTGGAGGCCGTGGGTGGGAGGTCACCTGAGGTGATGAGGTTGTGGATGGTTTGCGAGATGATGGTTTGGTGCTCAGGGGTGGGGTCTTGATCAAGGGGGCGGTAGGAGGAGGTGTCGGAGAGTTGGCGTCCGGCCTCGGCGATGTAGAGGTCAGTGCGCCATACTACAACTGCACCTCCCTTGTCCGCGGGTTTTATGGTGAAGTTGGGATTGGAGCGGAGGGAGCGGAGGGCTGCACGTTCTGTGGGGGAGAGGTTCGAGTGGGTGAGACGGGTGGAGAGATTGAGGCGATTGATGTCTCGACGGCAGTTGGAGATGAAGAGGTCGAGGGAGGGTAGGAGGCCTTGGGGTGGTGTCCAGGAGGAGGGGGGGTTATGACATTCTGACATTCACCAAGCAGGAACAGACAGGTGGAGACTGATAACAAATTCACATATCCACATATCCTCTTGCATTGGCTCATTCCATTCATGGAGTTGTACAGGTGTTGGTTAGTTTCTGGATCTCACTCAATTGTGGTAGAATTGAAAAAAAATCACCAAACAAGGTGCAGCATAGGGCAGCAATGGAATCAGACCTGTGTTCTATTTGAATTGCTGTCTTTAAAGATAAATATT